TTCCCTTTCCAAAGTCTGTTCCTGGGGTTGGTTCAAAAGTGTTAGGGCCTTTTGAAACCCTGTGGGGGGACGGAGGGAGAAATCCACTCTGGCTAGAGAAACCGGAGAGTCTGGGTCTCAGGTTCACCTGTTTGTGCCTACAGCATCAAGGGGCTCCCTGTGGGCCATAAGCTTTAAGGAGATAGAATTATACCCTGCAAAGGGAGAGAGTAGCTTACTCTTTAGGAGGGGTCCATAGGTACCCTCCTGGGGCCACTAGTCCAAAATGCCTGGTTGGAGGGGATGAAGGTGACTGTCAGAATTCCTTTTCTGAAATCCCACCTCCTCTCTCTGGGATAGATTAGAAATAGACATTTTTGAGAGCAAGACCCTTGGATAAATTGCCCAGATTCTACCATCCCCAAAAGGTGGTGATATGACCGATGGGAGTTAGCATTTGTGGCCTGGGAAACATGGATCCACTGAGAGTGTTGGGCCATCATTTCAATACACGTGACATCTTCCTGAGGTGCTGCCCACCTCCCGCTAGTGGTCTGGCCGGAACCTGTGCACCTGTGCTCCTTTGCAGGTGTGACATAACTGAGCTGTGTGTGGGGCAGGAGAGGCAAAGAGAGGTCAGATAGTGTCTCTGGCTAAGAAGCTTATGAATTTTTAGGTTTCAAGAGCATGTTATAAAAGAGTAACCGTCTAAGAATGGTTTGGACCAAAGCATGAGCACAGAAAGCAGGGCTCAGGGAGCTCACAGCACTCTCTCTGAACTTAGACAGTTGAAGCAGGCTTCCCGGAAGGTGGGGCCTTAAGCCATTCTTTGAGGTATTGCTGAGATGTTGGTTAGTGTAAGAGCAGGGAAAGACATTCCAGGCAGAGGGACTACAAGTACCTGGGTGAAGGCAAGAGGCTGGAATGCACAGGGAGAGTCTGCAGTCACGAATCCATGTGATGGGGTTAAAAGCCTTTTGGACTTAGAGGAGAGAGAGTGGGAACAATTTGAGATGGTTTTGGGTGTAATCAGGAGATCTTGTCACAGAGCAGCAAGTTGCTCTCTGATGAAGCCCCCCAGATTTCAGAGAGCTGCTTCATGGCTCTGGGCGCTCCATGGTCCCTGCGCTTCTTCAGGGAGCTGCCTGGTGGAGTGCTCAGCTGGCAACCCATAGGGTTTGCTCATTCCTAACACACTCTCAGTGAAGAAGGAGCAGTAACATGGTAATCCAGATCTGGAATACCAAATTCTAGTCATTTCTATTCAGGTGTGATGTTTTGGCAACAGGTTTATTCTCTTAAGATGTTTGTTCTCTTCAGCCTGATGTTGAGACTATTTAGATTCTTTGGATGAACACCAAGGAAACTCAGACTGTGCCGGGTGAGGGAAGCCCGCCTGCTTAAGCTGACCCATGGCAGACTTCAAGTTGACTTGAAATGATCCAACCCACATAGTTAGGTTGCTCTCTCTCTCCCCTCTCCTCAGCATCACCATCACCACCATCGCCTCCAAGCAGCATCACCCACAAGCATGCGTTTAGCACTTCCTCTGTTTTGTAGTGGATATGAGTTTCATTACACAACATGGGCTCCAAGAAATGTCACTTTCTTTTTTCAAAATAAAAATTCACTTTTTTTGAAGCATCATCTGGTCAGATTAGTGGGAACTTAAATTTCAGTCATTCCTGGGGCTTTCCCTGTGTCCCCAGTCCCATCATAGGCTGTGAAATGGTCCCGATGGTCTGACAAAGTCTAGAACATTGGGAGAAAGCCCTCTGGTCTCGGTGACATAGGGGTCACCCGTCAGATGTTCCTTACCTTGGTCTCTGTAGTTCCTTACAGGTGCTTCTCTATCCACCCTGGATAGTGAGGCGGGGGTGTGTTAGCTGAGACATTGTGCCCCAGTGCCAGGCATCTTCTTGCCACAGCCCCAGGCATTGCAAGAGAACATTCAAGACCCAGCAATGGGCTGGGCCCTCCGTCATCTTAGAAGAAGCTCCCCAAACTTCACTCTAGCTGAGCTGCTTAGGTCTTCCCCTTTCAACAGCTCTTTCCTCACTCTCCTCCCCTTCTGGAACTTTCTTCTCACAATCTCCCTTCCAGACCATTAGAAATCTGTGCTGGCTTCTACCCTAGGATAAAGGAATAAAATTCAATGCCTCAGTTTTTTCTTTCTTTCTTTCTTTCTTTCTTTCCTTCCTTCCTTCCTTCCTTCCTTTCTTTCTTTCCTTTCTTTCTTCCTTCCTTCCTTCCTTCCTTCCTTTCTTTCTTTCCTTTCTTTCTTCCTTCCTTCCTTCCTTCCTTCCTTTCTTTCTTTCCTTTCTTTCTTCCTTCCTTCCTTCCTTCCTTCCTTTCTTTCTTTCCTTTCTTTCTTCCTTCCTTCCTTCCTTCCTTCCTTTCTTTCTTTCCTTTCTTTCTTCCTTCCTTCCTTCCTTCCTTCCTTTCTTTCTTTCCTTTCTTTCTTCCTTCCTTCCTTCCTTCCTTCCTTTCTTTCTTTCCTTTCTTTCTTCCTTCCTTCCTTCCTTCCTTCCTTTCTTTCTTTCCTTTCTTTCTTCCTTCCTTCCTTCCTTCCTTCCTTTCTTTCTTTCCTTTCTTTCTTCCTTCCTTCCTTCCTTCCTTCCTTTCTTTCTTTCCTTTCTTTCTTCCTTCCTTCCTTCCTTCCTTCCTTTCTTTCTTTCCTTTCTTTCTTCCTTCCTTCCTTCCTTCCTTCCTTTCTTTCTTTCCTTTCTTTCTTCCTTCCTTCCTTCCTTCCTTCCCTCCTTCCTTTCTTTCTTTCTTTTTTTACCAATACATCCTTTTAAAGTTAAATAATGCTTAGGACATGAAGAAGAAATAGTGTTTCTATTGCCAATGACCTTGTCTATTTGGGGAGACCCACACCAAGGATGGATGCAGGTCATGGCCAGCCCAGTGTCCTGCACACTTGTGAGAAGCTCAGGTGCTCCAGGCTTGTCACCAAGTGGAAGTGCCATTTTCTAGCACCTGTATCCTTCTACCTTTGTCTTCTGCTTCTCTGACCCACATACCTGGGGCTGACTTCTAGGTCGCTAAGCCCGGGAACTGGATGGATGTCTATGAAGGGTTGACGACGGTGATCCTTGGCGTGACCTCCTCTGTGCCCTCATTGCCACTCCCCAACGTCCTCCTGATGGCCAATGTCACCTGGCCCCAGGGTCAGTTTTCCACCTGGAGCACACCTGGTTGTGCCCCAGTCATCAACCTCAGCAGGTAAAGAAAGGCTTCAGGGAGGGACCAGAAGGGGAGGGATGACCAACTGCTTTGTTTCGCAGCTAGACGGGACCGTGCTGTTTAGTGTATAAACTACGTAGAATCTCATTCATTCATTTAACAAATATTTGTTTTGCATCTATATGTACCAAACACTGTGCTTGGCACTGTGGATAGAGCACCGGTCCCTGTTTCAGTCTAGTTTTTGAGAATCTTGGCTTCCACTTATTTATCTATTTTTTGGTCAATATAGACTTAGATTTTTTTTTTTTTTCAAGATGAGGGGTATGAAAGTCAAATGAGATTATAAAGTTTTGTGATTGAAAAAAATCCTACATGTAGAGGAGACATCCATTCTTCTCTTCACTCTTTCAACACAGTCAGGATACAGGGAGAAGGGGACCTGGAAATGGAGTCAGAAAACCTTATTTCTGGTTCCTACTTAAGAAGATCTAAACTTAGGCAAATCACTTAGCTTCTCTGAGCCTCGGTTTCAAAATCTATAAAATGGAATTAGTGATGCTTATCTTTCCTCCATCAAAGAATTTTTGTGAGGGTTCAGTGAGGTATTATACTCCAACTATCAGCTTTTATTATCAATGTGGGCAGATTCCTAAATAACTAAGGCCTTGAAAATCAGAGCAGAGTCAACTTAGTGATGATTCCCTCCTCAGATCACATGCTCCCTCCTGTGGGCATCCCCCAAGCAGAGGTGGCAGCCACGTGAGGTCAAACCAAGCTCTAGTAGGCACTAGAAAGGTTGATTCAAATCCTGGGCTCTTCCACTATGGGAATTTCCTGATTGTGTCCAGGATTCTCCCCTTGAAGTATGTAGAGCTACAAATCTATGACCGGCTCCAACGCATCCTGAGGGTTAGGACAGTGACCGAAAAGATCTACTACCTGAGGCTCCACGAAAAACACCCAGAGGCCGTATTTCAATTCTGGATCCGCTTGGTGAAAATTCTGCAGAAAGGTCTGTCCATCACCACCAAAGACCCAAGAATTCAGTTCACTCACTGCCTGGTGCCCAAGATGTCTTGCAGCTCCACCGAAACAATAGTAAGTGAGGCCCTCTCACCGAGATCTATGGAGTCAGGGCCAGGGGGCAGGGGCATCGGAGGTAGAGCACCTCAGAAGGGTTGGTGGATATTAAAGTCTAATGTCATGGGCAGATGAGCAGACTTCATTTTCAAGGGTCAGTAATACACACACCAAGTTGAGGTCTACGAACATAAAAGCAAATTAATTTCCTTAAAAAAAGCTATAAACAACTTACTTAAAAATTGTTTTATTTTTTATTGCTGTTTTTTTTTTCCAGTATTATAAAGGAACAATCCTCACTGAACAAAATCAGAAAACTACAGAAAAATGACCCCCGTTTCTTTTTAGCCCGGAGCAATCTCTTGGAACATTTTGGCATTTTTCCTTCTACTCTTTATTTTTAAGATAATTTTTAATTTATATATATGAGGACATAAAATATATACACATTTCTGAATGTTCCTTTGTTTCAGTTTAGATTATATCATAAGCATTTTTCCATTTCTTTTAAAAGCTCTTTGTACACATCATTTTGATAATTTTATGCTATTCAGTTATATGAATGAATTAAAATTTACTTCACCATTCCCCTCATAACATTTAGAGTTGTTTCTGACTTTTCATTATTGTAAATAATGCTAAATAAAACCAGCATTTATATGTACTGTCCACAGTTTTGATTGTTTTCTCAATAAAATTTTAGAAGTAGAATTCAAAGAGTATAAACATTTCTAAGATTCTTGCTACATATTGCTAGGTTATTTCTGAAAATTTCATACCAAGTTATACTCTCTCCAATAATATGTATCCATATCACGGTACCCTTATCACAATTGAGAGGTATAAATTTAAATAAATTTTCTGATAATGATAGGTTAAAAGTGGCATCTCTCTGATTTTCAATGAGATTGAACAGTTACATTTTTATTTCTTTTTGCACTGTCTGTTGTGTTCTTCGGTCATTTTTCTATTGGCAGCCTTGTGTTTTTTTATATTGATTTATAAAATAAAGCTTTTTATATACATAAAGATTTTCACCTTTTAATCACAAGTGTTTGTAAATACTTCCCCCAAAGATTTACTTTCCCCAATCAGTTTATTTAAGGCTTTCTTTTTTTTCCCTTTTGACACACAGAAGGCTTTCCCGGGACCCACTTAGGGTAGAAGCACAGGAAGGAAATTCTTGATATATGATTTGCCTAAAATCTTCAGCTTTCAGACTCTAAAATTCTTTCCTCTTCTCATTTAAGTTATGTGCTTGAGGTATACGCCATCACTGATTTTGAAAGTCAGCTTTTACAGTTCTGCTGCTCTGGTTCTTAATGTTCAGATGTGGTGCTCTGGGAAGAGTAGCCACAGCAGCCCATCAGAGAGAGCGCTGCCAGGGGCCCCATTTGTCTGATGGTTCTGGGGCTTAGTGTTTAAGGAGCAGGTTCCCAGGGCTAGGCTGGAAGACTCAAGTGAGTTTCTTCAAGGTTCTGGCCTGAAGAGACCAAGAACTACCAGGGAGCAGACCTGGTCATCTGACTGTAAATTTCTCCATCTAGTCTGAAAGCAGCCTCCTGTTATCCACCCAGCCCAGCGAAAACTTCATGCTGTTGGCGGCTGAGCAGGCCAGCGGAAGTTTCTCAGATTTCTCAAGGAGGTCCCAGCTCACAACAGAAAGGTGGGTCCTCCGTGCAGGTAGCTCTAGTACCCCTTCCTGCAGCATAGAGCTGTGTGTGTGTGTGT